AAGAATTGATGCTTTTGAACTGTGGTGTTGGAGAAGACTCTTGAGAGTCCCTTGGACTTCAAGGAGATCCAACCAGTCCATCCTAAAGGAAATGAGTCCTGGGTGTTCATTGGAAGGACTGATGCTGAAGCTGAAACTCCAATACTTTGGCCACCTCACGCAAAGAGTTGACTTATTGGAAAAGACCCTGATGGTGGGAGGGACTGAGGGCAGGAGGAGAAGGGGACGACAGAGGACAAGACGGCTGGTTGGCATCACTGACTCGATGGACATGATTTTGAGTAAACTCGGGGGGTTTGTGATGGACAGGGAGGCCTGGCGTGCTGCGATTCTCAGGGTCGCAAAGAGCCCCACACGACTGAGCGACTGAACTGAACTGGTGTTAGTTGTAGCACATGGGATCTTTAATCTTCCTTGGCAGGCAGGATCTTTAGCTGCTGCATCCAACTGTAGGTGTGGCATGTGGGATCTAGTTCCCTGATCAGGGAGGGAATCTGGGCCCGCTGCACTGGGAACTCAAAATCTTAGCCACTGGACCACCAGCGAAGCCCCCCAACTTCTCTGATTAAGGCAGGGGACTCAGGGCCCCACGCTGCTGGAGAAGTCAGGACACCTAGAAGGGGCATGTTCGGGGTGTGGCAGAGGGCCACTGGACTTGGGATTCTAGGGGTGGTTCTGCTGCCATCGGGCAAGGAGACCTTGGATAAATCTCCCTCCATGACTGGACTAAGTCCTTGGTCTGGCGGTGAGGAGTGGGGTGCTCTGAACACTGCACAGTTCCCACTCACACCTGGCGCTAGGCTGGCGTCCTGGGTGTGCCCGGGAGTGGAAGAGTGACCCCGCAGTGGGCGGGAGGTGGGGCGGCCTGCAAATGCCCTGCCTGGCCCTGGGGGAAGCTGTTTCTGATTTAGGGGAAGCAGGTAGATCGGGGCCTCCTACTCAGAGCTGTGATCACTGAGGGTGACCTCAGGGTGCCAGGCAAGGAACCAGGAAGGTGTTCAGGCAGACCAGTGGTATTTCAACCACAGCGGTCCCGCCCTCATTCCCCAGGCCCTGCTCTTAGAAGGCTGCTGGGTCTAAACAGGGCCAACTGAACTAAACGGAAAGAAATCAAATCGTTCGGGATCCAAAGGGCAAGGAGACGGCCCTGCCGGGCTGCTGCGGAGGCAAGCCGAGCGAGGGTTGCGGCAGGCACGCTCGGAAGTGCCCCGGGGCCCGCGCGGCAGGCGGCTCCCGTTTCCCGGCACGGCCGGCCGGCGGGCGCGGGGCAGCTGCTGGGAGGTGAGCGGAGCAGCGTTTTCCCACAGTCTGGGGCGGTGACACATGGCGCTCACACATTCCACAGCCGGCGGCCGCGCCAGGCCTGGCCGCGAGTCAAGGCAGCGCCGGAGCCGCCGCCGAGCAGGTTCCGACTTTGGCACCCGCCGCGCGCCCTCCTGCCTCCCACGCCGCCCGTTTAACTCTTGGATGGCCGGACACAACTGCAGAGGGCTTTGGTCTTGTTCGCGTTCTGTGTCTCATCGCAGTGCGTGGCCCACTAGCCGCTGCATCAGTGTAGATGAATACACGAGCGCGTGAACGAAAGAACAAAGGAAAGGGAGCCGCTCCCGATTTCTACCCACCACGTGCCTCTGCAGTTATTCTCAATTGCCAAACGCCTGAACCCCCACTGTTTCCGCACATTCTTGTAAAGACTCCGAAGGAAGAGGGGAGAGAGGTCATGGCAACAGCCCCACCCCCCAGTTTGCCACGGTGCAAACTGGCCTCGGGGAAAGTGACTGGCTAGGGGCGGGGCCGCTCTTGCCTCTAGATTTAGGTGGGAACTGCGGGGGCGGGGTAGGGGGTGGGTGGGCAGGAAGACTTTCCATACTCCACCTTCGGTCTGTAAAGAGATCTGCCTTTCTAGACCCAAGATCCACTCCAATTCCCTATTTGTTGATGGGTTAGGGAAGCCTTGATCACAGCCCACTCTGGCGCCATTTGAGTGCTGCCAAAACAGGCAATTCGTAAATTCCTCAAAAAGGGGGCCTCCGGATTCAGGGTGGATGTTTGTGTCTGCGAGTGGCAAGCACTCCGGGTATTTTGCCTCTCTTGGGCTTCTGTATGGACTCCCCAGGACTCCTCCAATTCTCCTACCCCCGGAACTGAATCTGATTGCTCCAGGAAGGTACCACACTGAAGCTGGAAGTCACGGGAGTCGTCATTCATGGAATACCTCACAGAGCCAGGAACCCACCAGGCATCTCCCCTCCCCGCCAGCCCCCCGCCACCACAGGAGTGACCCAGACCCTTAGGGTCAGGAAGTTTCCTGAAAACTTGACTACTTTTAGATCTGTCTTAAGTAGTTCCCTTTAATTCCAATGGCAATGGGTAGTATGATTGCCCCTGTTTTATATCTGAAGAAATTGAGACTAAAAGTGGTGAAACCACTTGCATAAGGTTACATAGCTATAAATGCGCTTGACCCAGGTTTGTCAAACCACCAGCCCAGTGCTTTGCCAGTTCAGGCTCGAAGTTTAGATGCAGTTCAGATTACACCCTGCACACACCCTCACCCTCTCCCTCTCCCAGCCTGCCAGCATGAAGGCGCACAAAGAGCTGCCTAACGCTAACCTTCTTGGAGCAGAATCACAGTGGAGCCTCAGTGGATCCTCACTGAGGATTCTCAGTAACTGAACCTGGTAGAATTATCAAACTCACCTTTGCTCTGGGAAATAAACTGCCCCAGCTTCTGATCTGTAAGCAATATCCTCTCAAAGCTTACAACATAATCAAAGGACAAATAGGTCAACCATGGAGATTTATGAGGTCCTAGGTGTGTTCAAGCTCCTTCACTCACTCAGCTAGCATTCACTGTGAATAGGCCAGACACCTAGCAGGGTGCTGCTGATGGAAATGGGATAGGAGGCTAGGAGGATGAAGAGATAGGAGGCTAGGAGGATGAAGAGATACAAAGGAGAATAAAATCCAGAAGACTTGCAGATCCCACTCGGGGCTCCCAGTCAAGTAGGTGGGAAAGACCCATAAAGAAACAGTTATATTTTAGCATGATCAGAGGTATGAATTAAGTGAGTGTACAGAGATGAGCATGTTGCTAATTGAAGTTCAGAAAGGGTTCCCTAAAGGTGACCTTTGTATTAGGCCTTGAAGAATGAATGGTTCCCCAGACAGAGGCAATGGGGAAGGACACTGAAGGCAGGATATCTTTATTTTATTTTTTAATCTTTTGGCTGCATTGCAGCATGTGGGATCTTAGTTCTCCAACCAGCGATCCAACCTGTACCCACCACCCTGGAAAAGGAGAGTCTTAACCACTGGACTTACAAGGAAATCCCCAGCACCACTTATTTTTAACATTTTATTTCATATTGAAGTGTAGCCAATTAAACCCCCACCCCCCGCCACCCCCCTCCACAATTGGAAGAGCAGAGTCTTAACCACTAGACTTCGAGGGAAATCCCCAGGCAGAATATCTTAAAGCAAATACAGAAAATACAAACCATACATTAAAAATTGATCAATTGTGTGTCATCAAAATTTAAACTATCAACTCGCTAAAAAATATATACCATCAAGAAAATAAGCAGGCAAACTGTAAACTAGAAGAAAATATTCACAAAACATGTATCTGATATAGGGCTTCTATGTAGGATATAAAAGAATTCTTGCTACTCAACAATAAAAAGACAAACAACCAATGTTTTTAAATGGCCAAAGACTAAACAGACACTGTACCAAATAAAATATACAAAGGACCACAAAAAGCACCTGGGGAAGCCCTCAACATCATCAGTCACCAGAAAAATGCAAATTAAAACTACAGTGAGACACCACTACACCTAAAAGAATGGCTGAAATTAAAAACTGACAGCACCAGATGTTGGACAGGACATGGAGCCATTGGAATTCTCATACATCACTGGTAGGAATGTTAAATGGTACAGTCCCTTTGAAAACCTAATAGTTTCTTTAAAAGTTAAACACATATCTATGCTGTGGTGTACTGGTAAATGTTTAACAAGGGACTCCCCAAAAGAAAAACAAGCCTGCTTTGTAGCATTTGCCAATTTCCCTGGTATCAATTTGATCATAGCCAGTTTCAAGCTGCTAGTGACATCACTGAGAGCTGAATTGGAAAGGGATGAGCAGAATTGCCTCTTGCCAATCAGTATCTGCCCTCCCCAGCACACCACTGCAACCACCCCCTGACCCAGCAATTCTACTCATAGATATTTACCTGAAAGAAATGGAAACAGCTTCCTTTCTGTCCACCTACTCGGCGCCATCTTGTCTTCTTCCAGCTTACTACATTGTTCGAAGTTGAGAGAGAAGGGGCGTGAGTCTCCAAAATGGCGTTGGGTGTGGGCGGTGTAACTTTCCACCTCCTGTACTCTCGGTGTCTCCAGAGGACCTGGCACCAATGGGAGCAAGACAGTCTGAGCCAGGCTGCTCACCTTAGGCGCAAGGCCCATGCTTCTCCCTCCTCAGGTTCACCAAGGCCTTGGCAAATGGGTGCGCTGGGCCAGGACAGTGAAGCAGAAGAAGGGGCGGTGGGGAAGGAGAGCCCAGTTTTAGGAGATGGCAGCGTCCCTAGCTCCCATGCGGGCCCAGTCCTGGCCACTTCTGTGAAACGAAGGACCCGGGGTTCCCTCTCACCCCACTGGCCCGAGGGCACCACCTCTGGGCCAAGGCCCCCTCCTCGGCCTCCCATGACCATGTGCTGAGCCAGGATTTGTGCCAGATGGAGACGCCCTAGCATCTCACTGTGGGGCATCTCAAGACTACCCAGCAGGAGCGATGCCTTCTGCCACCCAGTGCCAGGACACCAAGTCTTGGTGGAGATGGCACTGGCCATCTCGCTCTGGTGGCTAGGCACCTGCTGGGAGTACCACACCCTTCAGCCACTCCTGTGCCACAGTCTGCAGGGTCTTATGAGGTGTCCCAAGGCAGTGGTATGTTTGCTGGATCTCAGCCATGTGCTCCCCTCAAAAGGGGTGGGTCTGTCAGTCTCAGAGGCTGCTTTCTGTAACCTTACAAGGCTCCTACCATTGGAAGGGCCCCATGTTGGCCCTGGGGATGCTCACAGGGCCATGAACTGTAAAGGGGAATTTAGCACTCCCTGGTCTGGTCGTTCAGGCTGGAGCGGTCGGGGAGATCCTTTTTAGAATTCACACTGGGGCTGTCCTAGGGGCGCCACCCACCACCACCAGGGACTGTGGGTTGCCCAGGAGCATAGAGGATGTTTTATGGAAGTCAGAGTACGCATTGCTCCTGTGGTTGATGAAAATCCTTTGCAGGTGAGATAGGAGCATCCCAGATGCAGCCAGAGTTTAATCTGGGCTGTTCACTAGCCCAGACACAGCGGGTAGGGCAGGGCATTTGACAGGCTGCTGGGATGGGTGGCTCCCCTGGATTGGAGGAGAGGTAACTGGAGCAGCCAGAGGAAAAGAGGAGCAAGGGAGGCAAGGCCAGTTTGACAACAGCTGTGCCAGACTTTGAAGGAGGAATCCATGAGGGCATTGCATCACACAGTGACATTTTCATCGCTCCCGGTGTGCTGTTTCTAGGACCCTTAGACTCAACCGTGGAAAGTACCAAAAGGTGTGTGACAAGAAACTTAACGGCTTTTAATCCTGGCAGGAAGGACAAGGAAAACCAAGGATAAAGATTTGAGCAAGTTTTATTATTTTCCCATGGGAGATGGGGAAATCAATCATATTTAATAAACATCTTTCCCCTCATCCCTTCCAATTGCATTATCTCTTTGTTCATCAAGACAGGGAAGGATAACTTTTATCTTTTTGAGTCAGTTGAGTGATAAGAAATGAGAGCACCTCTTGGTGCCCTGGGTATTGAGACAAATGCTAAGAGGGGCTGGTAAGCGCGTGGGCGTCTTCGGCCAATGAGGAAGGTAACACGCACCAGGGTGAGGAGGCCGAGTAAGATCAGGACGATGATGAGAGGCAGGAAAATGGACTTATCACTGGAACAAGAGAAACCTGGTGGAAAGACAAGTCAAGTGGGTGTCACGGTGATGGTTGGGATCAAGGTGGGAGGAAGGAATGTAGGGGATGTTGGGAAGTAGAGATTGGTGAGGCGTTCACCTAGATGTCTCGGAGCAGGAAACAAAAGGGAGCCTGGGGAGAGCCTTATAGAGGAGGGACAGTTACCCTAGCTGTGACAAGCTTGAGAGGAGGAGGAGATTTGGGGTGCAAGGAGGGAGATTATAAGCCTGGGTGGGGGCTTTCAGTGCAATGGGAAAATTCTAGGAGGGAAGAAATAGGTCTTACTTGGTCCAAAGTCCCCTGAGGGGGACAGCTGAGCAGCTTGTAGCTTCAGGGAGAGCAGATCTAAGTGTAAAGCTGGTGAAACAATGATGCTTGCATTTCTGCAACTGAAGCTCTGGCCCAGGGGGGTTTGGAGATCTCGAAGGGATGAATTCTGAACTGAGAATGTCCACTCTAAAAGAATGAGGAAGAGTTAGCTCCATATCCACGTCTCCACCCACTAGCCTGGGTCCCTTCAGGAATCCAAATATCTAGTGCAAGTGGTGAGAAAGGGAAGGTTACTCACGCACTGCCTGGGGGAAGGACACGTTGTACTCCACAGCCATAAAGTTCAGGTAGACAGCGCTCTGCGGTGGATCCTGGGGAGGTGACCGGGAAGACTCAGGGCAGCAGGGCAGAGTGGCATCCGGGTACAGAGTAAGGAGTATGCCAAGAGGTTGGTAGGGATAGGGTGAGGGGGAGGGATGAGAGTTAGTACCTGCTTGAATCCGAAGCTGAGCTCTCTGTAGGGGAATGAGAGGAGCAAGTGGGAATGGGGACCTTCACAGCCCCCCTGGGCCTTGGTTCTGTTGGGGTTCAGTACAGAGATACCCCAGGCCTGTAGAAGTTAAAGATGAGAGGTCACAAGACTACACAGCTCTGCCATTCCATGTTCCCTTTGTCTTCAGTCTGCATTTGTCTCCTCCTCTGCTCTTCCTCACCCCCTTCTGAATCGAATCAGGCCTCTGCCCCTTCCTTTTATGTCCTCCACTGTCTTTTAGCTTTACCTTTCCTCCACCCTGGGTTGGATACAGAACTCGCATCTGAATCTGGGCTTGGAGCCGGATGCAGGGCTGGGAACCGTTATTCCAAGTGTAGTCTCCTACTGCCTCCTTGGAGCCTGGGCTAGGACTTGGAGAGGATGGTGGTTCTGGGTGGGGGGATCTGATGGAGGACCCTGGACTCGTGGCCTTACTGTTGCTTGTTGGATGAACTGTAGTATTTTGATGACTGCTGGTGGTAGCAGGACTATGAGTGGCTGTTGGGGACTCGCGGCTGGTGGTTCCTGTGGTGTTAGTTGTATGCGTGGTGGTGGTGGTGGGTCTCTGAGTGGTGGTTCTGTGGCTCTTGGTAGTTCTGTGGCTGGTTGTTCCAGGGTTTGACGTGCTTTCTGTAGCTATAGGTGTCACTGTGAAGGATGGCAGCAGAGTGGCAGATTTTGTATGAGGATAATCATTCCCTGTCCCCGGGCTTTGAGGAAAAGACTGGTTAGCAACCCAGGGCAGGCTTCTTCCCAGGGGCCCCCTCCCCCTGTCCCCTTACCTGCTAGTAGCCCCAGCAAGGCCCCAGAGAAGAACACAGCCAACCTCATGACAGAACAGCCTTCACCCTGAGTCCAGCAGTGTTAGTACCAGCTGCCTGCTCAACCAACCCTGTACCCTCTGCCTTCTGTTTGGAAAAAAGAGGAAATCTCTGACTTCCTCTTAACCAAGGTGGTCCCACCCCCAGCCTGACTCAAGCACCTCAGCCCCAGCCACCATGATCTCTTAGTCATTAAATAATTGGTCCTGGTGTCACCAAAGGAGCTAGCAGCATCATGTGGGTAGTGAGATGGGGAGTTTGGGAGAAGTTGATCCTTACAGATTTGTCTCAGTAAAATATGCTTGGCAGTTGCAAGAAGTGATTATAGAGGCAGCAGCCCCTCTATGGGAGAGGTCACTAGGATGTAAATTCAGAACACTCCCTTCTCCCTCCATCACTTCCTCTTTGCCGAGACATGTGAGGTGCTTATGATGGTCCTTGCTCAATCCCTATGGAAAGGTCATCCTGCCTTGCTGCTGCTAAGTCGCTTCAGTCGTGTCCGACTCTGTGCGACCCCATAGACAGCAGCCCACCAGGCTCCTCTGTCCCTGCGATTCTCCAGGCAAGAATACTGGAGTGGATTGCCATTTCCTTCTCATGGAAAGGTCATACCTCCTAGTTAACATTAACCATTTTCCAGTCAACAAGAAAGCACAACAGAAAGTAACTATTAGCTGGGGGTGGGGGCAATAGAGCTGTACTCAACAGCAGGTGGGAGGGAAGGGGAGGGAAGAAATGAGAAGCCAAGGCAGGCAGTTTCCAAGTCATTTTATTCAGAATTTTGTGTTTGTTTCCTGAATCAATAAATACTATACAAAACAACAACAACAAAAAAGAAATGGAAATATATATCTACAGTCTCATAAGAATGTTTATAGCAACTTTTTTCATTATAGGCCAAAACTGGAAATAACCCAGATTCCAGTCACAGGAGACTAGATAACCGAGCTGCATTATTTTCATGCAATAGAATCCTACTTAGTAATAAGAATGGATGAGCTAAGGCAAGATGGATGTTAAAATATGCTGTGTAAAAGAAGACAAACATGAGCAGAACACCCAGTACAATTGCATTTATATGACATTCTAGAAGAGTTGAAACTTTACCGAGGATGATCAAAGTCAGATCATGAATGCTGGGGCAGGCAGGGACTGACTAGGAAAAACTGCAAGCAAACTTTCTAGGGTGACAGGAATGTTCTAGGCTTTTATATTGATCAAAACAGAGTACTTCAGATGTGAGTATTTCTCGGTGTATAAGGAAAGAAACAGCCTGGATTTCTCTTCACTAGGACACTCAAGGTATCTTAGGAGCAGAGCACCACAGCCCGCTATGGGGCTACAGGACAGCTGGCTCAGCACAAGAACCTCAGGGAGTAAACTGTGTTTCTCTTATTTTCTTTTAGCAAAATCAACAAGGCAGTATTTGCTTTGCTGCACACTGTGGTTACTAGGTTCCCTCCTCCCCACCCGCCCCAAGCCAGAGCATGGTCTGGGAGGCCAGGGACCACTGAGGCTGAGGCTGTCTGGCTTAGTCGTCCCCGAAGATCGGCTCATCTTTTCTCCACCTACTACCTTCTCTTTTGCAAAGAATTCATATAAGGAACTTGCAAAATTACTTTGCCTCCTAGTTTTTCCACTCATATTTTCCTCCAAAGCTCCCTTCATCATGATCTTCCAGTCCTCTTCTACTTAATATAATTATATAATATATCACTATTAGAAAGATCTATGCTAAATATTTAATAGCCCAGAGCTTTCAGGAATCCCTAATTCCAAGAGTTCTTCAGTAACTGAAGCACAAAGATCATTTAAGTGACTAACTGGTCATCCAGAGTGTTCAGTTTGGAATCTAGTTCTGCCACTGCTTAACTAGCTGTGCGATTGTGGGAAAGTTGCTCAAATTCTCTGGGCTCAATTATCCTATTTGCAAAAGAAGGGAAATAATTCCTACCTCCGTAGGCTCTCAGGGATAAAATAAGATGACCTGTGAAAGAACCAGCATATATGGGAGACAATGTTTGGGGCTAGTTTCTTTTTTTCCTGTCATTGAAACTTGAAACTAAGCCTTACTAGAAACCTTTTAATGACACCAATTTTTAAAGAGTTTGTGCAGTTCTCCTGCTTCACGCATCTAATGAGGAATAAAGACATGTGATTCCAGCCCAGGTCCAGCCCTGCTCCTCCTCCAGCCCTCAGTCCAGACGGTGCTTCCCAGGCTGGAAAACCATCTGGCTCAGGGCACAGCAGTGGACTCCACCCACCCAAGTTCCAAGTCTGCAATTCCAGAAAAATAGCATAAGAGGGCCAGGTGCAGGAAGGTGGAAAGGCTCTTGTCTCACACACACAAAAACACTGAAATTCCTTTCACACCCTCCTACCTCCCACTCCTTAATGAGTCTCTTACCAACTCAGTCTCCTTGACTTTTCCGAGTTTTATAAAGAGTTACTTGGAGAACTCTTGGAGACTGAGTGTAAGGCACTTGTAAAACTTCATACAAGACACAGAGTTTCCTCTTGCTTTTCCATGTTTTATTCACACACCCTTTCCCACAGCAAAATGTGCTAGTCATTGTCCCGGCTCCCCACCCCTCCCCGCTCCTCTCCCTCCTTCTCATTTGGTGCTCTCTCTACTGTAAAAATGACTGGTTCCAAGATCCTCCAAAACACTGTTGGCTACTTGCCTTAACTGCTTTGATCCCCAAAGTTAATGTTTCTTCAGTCTTCTTTCTTATTTGACCTCCTCTCTTGACTGTTCAATGCATTCCAGACAAACACAGGACTTTCCTGCCTCTGAGTCTTTGCTCATACTGTCTTCCCCACATCATCCCTTCTTCCTCACATGCTATCCATCCTCCAAAACTCAGCTCAAATGTCAACTCTGCATGAGACCTCTAAAAACTCCAGCTAGAAAGGTCTTCCCCTTCATCTGAGCCCCCAACATATTTCTAAACCTCCTTGTTATGACACTCACCTGCCATGTAATATATGGAGGAACAAGATGGAATATTGGTGAACTGACAGGTGAATGGATTCATGGACATAAGGTGGGGGGATGGCTGGAAAATGCACGAACTGTCGAGTGGACAGGTAGCAACTTTCTTGGAGTTGAAACATCCTCACACCTGGGTGTCTATATCATGCTCATATATTTACTTGTTTCACCTTTATTCTGCAGCTTCTTTGTCTTGTCTATCTATCCACAGTCTATTTCTGATCTCAGAGAGAGGTACTGGGAATATTTAATTCAAGATAGGTTTTAAGTGCTGTGCAGTCAATATTTACAGATGACAAAGGACCAGATATATTTTGATTTGCCCCCAAACCTAAAGCCAGATGAATTTTTACTAGCGTTTACAAGTAGATGTCAATATATTTCTCTACTCTGGTCATGTAATCATATTTCACTGTTTTTACTGAAGAAAAAAATACTCAAGTAAGCCTCTGTGAACCAATTTCTCTGATTTCTCTAAAGAAGGCTCTGGCTTCTCCGTCTCAAAGCACAACTCAACAAAATGTCATGGGAATTTCTAAAACTTTAATCTGAAGTGTCCAGGAACACCTTTGATTCTGTCTTTGTATCCTAATGTAATTTCTCAGTGACCGTGGTTCAGTGGTCAACTCCCCTCCTTTAAAAATACCACTATCTGCCCCAAAACTCTGCATCAGGAACTAAGGACACAAACTATGTGCCCATTATAAATAGAGCCAGTGACTACTCAAGGTCGTTAAAAATCTGTCCTGTCATTTTCTCCTGGAAAGTCCAAAAGTAATAGGAAGAAACTCGAAGAGAGTAGCCAGAGCCCAGGGGTGTGGGGGAGGGGGTGTCTTTGCAAGAACTTGACCTTCTCTCCGGGTGCCCAGGCAGCAATTATGACTGGTCAGCCAACCTGAAACACATCCTGCTTTTATAAATTTCCAATTAATACCCCAAATGCCAGAAGTTTCTTTTCAAATTAAAAGAAAAAAAAAAGGAAGGAAGAAGAAAGGAAGACGTCCAAATAGTGGAAAAACCCGGGAGCCGTGGCCCCACTTTCACTTGTGAAGCAGAGACAATGGTGAGAAATCAATGGCAGAACTACAAGGCAGCTCTCAGACACTCTTGACCTTGTCACTTCCTGGGTAATTAAAAGGCACTACAGTTTCGTGTCACTGTCAGGGCCTGAATGTATATCGATGGATAGATATATATGTTCTTAAAAGATTCTTTTTCTACAGGCTTGGTGAGGGGCCGGCCAAAGAAAAGGGGGGAAAGAAAAGCATTCTGTCCAGAGAGCAGTGAAAGGCAACATGAAAGGAGAAACTTAAATTTTTCAGCACAGTTTGCCCCTGGTGTGGGAAAATGGCTCAGGCAAGAATGGATGGCTTATTCACTGCTAGTTTTTTCCTTCGTTCCCTGGACAGATATCTCTGCGTGTGGTGGGCAGTAGGGTACCCTTCTCACTCTGTGTTCTTCTTCAGATACCTTCAGAGCAATAATGCAAGCCCTGGGGGCTCAGGATGTGTTGAGTCATCATTTTGGGGTTCTCACAGGAGGGTATTTCCCTTCATTGGGACTCAGCTTCTCCAAATGAGAAGAGCTGGACTAAACCCTCTTTGAAGCATTTTCCAAGGCCAACATCCACTGAGGCCATGAGAAAGGTTTCTCTCCCCTGACCCCGCCAAGGGAACAGAGCATCTCAGGAAACTTGGAGAGCAAGAGTGAGCCTCCCCAACTCATGCCTGGCAAACACCAGCTACCGAGACCGGTCAAAGCCACAGGAAGCCCTGAGTAAGGACACTGGGAGAAAGTCATACTAGCCACTGGTGAGGGAAGCTCTAAAAGTGCTTTGCCATCTCTGATGGTGCTTCATTGAGTCTGTGTTCTTGCCCAAAGGTGGGGCCCCACTTAGAGGGCTGATCACAGTCTCTTTGTGCATTGACACAAGCAGTATCTCCATCATGGGCTCTGAGATCCCTGATGCAAGGCTTCCACTGATGAGCTCCACATCCATTTCAGCTCCAGCTCTAAGCCAGGGCCAGCCTGCAGGAGGTATTCAGTGGATGCTTATTAGGCCAATACCTG